TCACCACAGGCCTTTGTCTCTTCTCATGTTGCTTTCGTTTTAAAGGTCTCAGACTCTGAGACACTGTTTTAACTGACCTTATTTTTTCAATTTGTTTTTATTTTGATGAATGCCTGCTGCTGCCTTGCATTGGTCTGTATGTCTGGAAGAGTTCTTTCTTCATCGCTTTCCCACGGAGGCTTAAGCAGCCCTATCCCTCGTCCCTTTCATTTATTCTTCGTATCTAAATAGGTCATTAGACTAGCTTTTCCTGAGTCACCCTTGACTTCTTTCTCCTGCACCGATGAAAATCTCAAGATATGTCTCTGGATATATTGGAATTAAATTATCAGTTCAGATTCAGTATGATTTAAGACAGCTTCCAGTCTTTCCTTCCAAACCTTCTTCCTCTTCCGTTTTTCTCTCTGCAGACATCTCCATGCTTTCTGCTACTCAGCACTGGTCTTTCCCTAGGTTATCACGTCGGTAAGTCTAGATACTGCACATTGATTCTGTACATAGCAACTTTGAGGTAGTAATTTTTCTTCATCTATGGCTACAATTCTCACATTATTTTTGACCTGAGCTATAAAATTCCTTTCCTCTGAAATCTATATATTCAATATGGTATTGCTGTTATCCACTGTGGATGCTCTTGCACCTTTTCCATTATCTGCAACATAAAGTGATAATTTTGAATGACCTTTTTAGCTTAACCTCAGCCTCTTCTCATTTCTCGTTTGCTCCTGAAGTCTCCTGTATGAACAGATGGGTTTTTTTGTTTTTTTTTTTTTTTTTGGTCCCTACTGTCACTACACAGTTATACAGTAGAGAGATAAAATTATTTTCTGTAACACCATATTCTAGTTGACACTAGAGCAATGAACTACTGAAAAATTAAATGTCATAGCTAAGTGTTTACAAAAACTGAAATTTCTGAAACTGCAAAAAAACCAAGTGTTACTGGAGAAAGACACATTCTCTTGAAGATTTATTTCAGCTGATGTTTTTTTACATCTTACTTTTTTTTGGGGTAGAAGAACAAAAACCCACAATAAAATATCATCCATGTCCCAACTCAATTTCCCCACTCTTCCTGAGCTGAGTCCTCCCTTTCATATATTTCTCACCATCTTCTGCCTATTAATTCCTCTTTTCCCATTTTCCTTGGAGTTCTTGGGACAAGTTCCAAATACAGCATTTTCTTTAACATTATTTTATTCAAAAAAATTCTTCTCTGTAGTCAGATCATTCATTTGAATAGAATATTAAAATTTATTCCATTCCTCCACAGTGAGAAGATTTTGGAACAACAGCCACTTAAAAAATAAAACCAAAATATCAACAACAAAAAGCAACAGAAGAGTAAGTGCAATGAGGGAACAAATCTAATATGGATATATCTGAAGCTTAAAAAGTTGAGATTGATTTGCTCTTTAGCCCAACTACTAATTCCAGTATGCACACATGATATTCACTTTGTTCATTCTTAGCTTTTTGTAGGCTCTATGTAGAAATTTTTGTATCTCATCCAATATTTTAATAGTTTCCAGTGACTATTCACAGGCTAAGTGAGAACATAATTTTGAGCCAAATAGTGTCTGTTCTTCTTTCCAACCTGTATGTTATTTGCTAGTTATTTGGATGTCACAGTCTCTTTGGTTGTACTTTCTGCTATCCTGTTTTGTCTGCCCTGCCTATATTCTATTCTTACAACCTTCAGAGAATGTTTTCTGGGCCACATCCAAGGCTGTATTTGTTCAGGTGAACTTCAGGAAATTTCAGGGTAAAATAATCCTTCATTCTAACAGTCCATGGAGAATTTAAATCGATCGAGCAAAATGAGATCACTTATTACTATCTGGGGTTATAAGTACACTAATATTTAGGGAGGAAAACTGACTAAACAAATCGATGCCTATGAAGTTAATACTTGGAAAGATCTGTAAGCAAGAGGAAAAAACATTATATCATCTTTTTCATCTCATACATTACTTAATCCAAAGTGTGCTTGTTTGACGTCTCTGTTTCCTGTTTGGATAACGTGTATGTGCTAAGTTCTGGTGATGAGTTATTTGTTTGTGCAGTTGGGCTTAAGATAAGCTAAATAAAAATGTTTAGAGCTGCACATCAAAGACAATATAGTAATTAGTTAGCATTAAAACCTCACTACTTAGATAGAAGGAAATACCAAGTTCCTCATACCAATTCCAAATAAAGAAGTGTTCAAATTAAGAAAAATTTAAGCTGTGCTTAGATCTGCCAGGGTCACAATCCTTGGCCTTCAGACTGTATCAGGGGATTTCAGTGTGCTGCTTCCTACCTCCTTGTGAAAACTGCTTGCTTGTGGCTATTTTTCTAAGTCACAGAGTTGTTCAGTCCCACAACCCGATGCACTGAGCTTGCCTCACAAGTTTTCTTTTTAGCACCCAGGTAGTATGCTAAAAAGTACCTGTAACAATATGTGCTGTGGACCAGACAGGATCCAATGGGATCAGATTATCTGTTAGCCCAAATGAAAATGTTCTAAGACATGGTTGCCTTTTGTTTTACATGCAGTGCTGTGAGTCAGTAACAAGTTTCTTAAAAACTTCATTAGTGTTCCATGGGTTATCATTTGCTTATTATCAGGTGTCATCTTTCCCATTAGTAATTACTTTATAGAGTGGCTAAGCCTGCACATTACCATTTACTGATAACAGCACTGTGTAATTGTCCCTTTTGTGTATTTTTAAGTAGCAAACAGTTTTTAAACAATTAATGGAGGAGGAAGAAAAAGCTGGTGATACTGGATCCACTACTGCAGCAAACATCACAACATCACTCTTTATATCAAGTCTGTTAATTGCTGTGAGACTTAACTGTGATTTGGACACGTGGGTGTCTATGTTTAAAAGCTGACTTCATATATGAAGATAGTAGGAATGCTTTAATAATTCTTTCCCTTCATTCTACTTTTATTAAATTAATTAGCATTTAACTTTATCTTTTTAAGAATTAATAGATATATCTTTTTTAAAAAAGTTAATAGTGAGAAAACTGATGTTTGTTACAAGCATATTTGCAATGCAGACTCTATACTTTTTAGTTTCACATTGTTGTTGTAGTATCATGGTTCTATCTTTTTGAAACAACATGGAACATGTATCTGTTTCAGAAAGAAACTGATCCAAAAGTAGAAGACCTATGTATTGTGGGTATTAGCTCAAAGTGCACTCTAAAACTGGAATGCAAAAGGCCTCATAGCTTTCTGAAAATGAATATGACTAAGACATTAACTTTGTCTTATTGAATAATGTTGTCACTACGCTACTTGTGTGAAGTCTCTAGGGTTAAAATATTCTTTAAAGAGATGTTTATTTTTGAACAGACCTATTGAGTTGTCTCCTATTGTATGTTAAAGTAGCTGCTCTCAAAGGTCACAGAAAGTTCAGCCTTACAAAGACACCCTTATTTTGTAGAAAATGAATTTCTCTAATGGGAACATTCAAAATGTCTCTAATAAAACTTTTTTTAGAATGTTTCATTTGATGACTTGTCCAGAAAGAGGAAAAGTAATGTAAAGACAGAAGTTTGGACAATAATCAGCCATGAAAGCACATGCTCTGTTTTCAGTAAGTGTAGAGAGTTGCATATGTTTTTCTTGTTTTTGCCATAGGAACATAATTCTTGGAGTTTTGTGTTTGTTTTTTAGCTTCCTCAACCTACGTACCTGGAAGAACATTTTCTGGCTTTTTGTTTTCTGAGCAGCAGACACCAAATAAAAAAAGCACAAATCCATCTGGGTCCAGTCAGATAGAATGTGCTCTTGCAGAGTTGAAGACTTTGGAATCCCAAGCAGTCAACAGGATCAGCCTGCACTGATTGCTCTGTATCATGGCAGTAAAAGGATAATTTAGTCAAAAGCCATAGCTTCAAGTAAATGCAGTGTTTGTGAAAGATACCGTTCTGATAGCAGTTAAAAGAGAACTCCTTACTTTTTCCCAGGAGGACAGCTTTAGCTGCAGAAAATCAAATTTTGCACTGGTGTAGCACTTCATTTATGTTTCTGAGATACCCAACGTGATTTATTTTATTGACCAACTTAGCAGCTGGTTTTATCTGTTGCAACAGACAGTTCCAATCTAGCAAGTGAAGCTGACACTGAGATGAGCTGTATGAAGTTAGACACCTGTCATCCACTTACAACGAGCAGCGTATTACACAAGGGTGAAACAAGTACACAACTGTGTGGGACAGCAGAGGCATGCAGAGACATGTCCAAGCCTCAACCTTAATTTTCCCTGCAGATGCTTTAAATGAGTGTCACTGGTTGTAGACACATATGTGCTTGGCATTAGACATCTCAAGATACTTTAAAAATGACACAAATCTGGAAAAACCTGGGTCATCAGAGTGTTACTTTGAAACTGGAAGAGTGTTAAATATGATTTTAAAGGGATATCGGTGGGAAATTATTTGTTCTGAGGGGAAAAAGTTTGAAAACAGAAGCACTGTAGACTTTTTAGACGTTCTCTTGCAATATAAATTGTATTTCTGAAGGTCTACACCCAGAAGAATTTTTGGATAGAAGGAGTTGCTGTTTACCACTCCTGCTGTCCATTCCGTCCACTATGGCTAGGTCCGGTGATGCGACTTGCAATGGGCAATACTGGGCCTGACACTGCCAGTCGTGCTGCTGGGTCCGTTGTCAGCCTGTGTGTCGGACGGGGCAGATGGAGAACCCTCGGTTATTCAAACGCCAGGATGGCGGGGCAGCGGTTATTTGGGCTGTTTCCAGAGCCTCTCTCCCCGGCTGTGATAGCATCCAGGGCACGCCAGCCCGCCCATGGCCGCCGTGCCTCCACGCCCCGGCCCGGCTCCCGCGCGGCCCCGCTCTGGGCGCTTCCCCGCGGCCGGCGGTGTGGGAGCGCGGGACGTCAGTGTGAGGGGGCCGGTCCTGGGAAGGGCAGGGCGCCCGCGTCCCGTCCCTCCCCGCCCCTCGCCGCGGCTCCCTCCCTCCGGCTGGGGGTGGCCGGGTCGGCCCTCGCCGGGATCCCATTCCTCCTCCCTCGGTGCATGGTCGCGGCGGGAGCGGAGGAGGGTGAGCCCGGCGGGGCGCGGGCCGGAGGCGGCGGCGAGAGCGGAGCCCCAGCGCGGAGAAGCCGCCTCTGCCCGGCAGCGGTGAGGCAGCGGCACCGCTGAAGTTGTGCGGGGATGGGAGGACGGGAGGGAGGACTGGGACCGCTGGCTGCGCTTCCATTCATTGCACGAGCGGCGGCCGGGCTGCTGCTGCTTCTCCTGGGCCAGGGCTGTAGCCTTAGGGACAGGCCGGGGACAGGCACAGCGCGGAGGTGGCGGCAGGGACGGGGCTGTGCCGCCGGAGAGAGCCACCCGGCGCTCGCCGGGGCAGCGGTGGAGCGGGTCGACACCCGGGCGCCTTCCCCGCCGGGAGCGCGACCGGGACCCAGAGCGCGACCCGGCGAGGCGCCCGCGGCTGCCAGGCTGCCTCCTTCCGTCGCTCCCCCCTTCCCCACTCCCTCCCTCACTCCCATCCCTCCCAGGTAA